GTGAAAACGGACATCAAAGTTAATAAAAATATATGATATTTGTAAAAAAATTATTTTTATATTTTAATTTTATAAAGCTATAACTTTTTGAAAAATGTATGGATCATTAAATTTTTTTTAAAATAAGTACTACTTATATTTATAAATTATTAACATGTATATTTATTTATTCATATATTACACTTATAAATCATATAACATGTAATCAGAATATAATAATAAAATTTAATCAAAATTCACCATTAACATTTGATACATTTGAATAGGCCAGTAAATATTTGGGAATAAGTTTATATTGATTTTTTGGTCCAATTCATAATAATATTTTTTAGTAGATTTAGATACATATTCTAAGTGGTTGGAAGCTAAAACTATAATTTTTTAAATTACTACAAATAATTCTATACAACAGATAACAGAAATTTTCAGTAGGTGGGGATTATCATATACTATTGTTTCAGATAATGGTTTTTATTTAACATTGTGTCGTAATATGCCTAATGCTTTGCATTGTGCATCTTACATTTATCAATGAAAAATGTATAATCTGCATTTTATATTAATAGTATACAAAAAAATAATTTATTTATCTGTTATAACATATACACTGTTGTACACTAGCTATTATATATGTATAATATACATCTTATCTTAAAATAACTCATGTTATGTTCAATTTAATACAATAAATTGAGAATCACTAAAAGCGCTGAAGACAACCCATGAAGGGGGTAATTAAAAATAATATAAAAAGGCTTAGTTCTGCTTGCACATCAGTGAGCGAGCGTGCCAGTGAGCGGCTCATTCTCTCTTCTTTTTGAAGATCTGAATTCAATAAGGAATTCAGAATTCTTCTATCTGACTTATTTTGAACAAACTAGCCACGACCCCGTGTTGTCGTCGGTACATTTTTAAGCGATATCGAATACAATTATTTTGCGTTACACATTTTATTTATTTAAAAGAGACAGTACAAATCNCATTTTATTTATTTAAAAGAGACAGTACAAATCTACGCAAACCTTGACGATCTTTGTACAAGCCAAATAAAAGAAGTAAGTAATTTTATATTAACCCAATTATTTAGAACTAATAATCCGAGTAAAGAATGATAAAGCAATAGATCACATATTTATATTTATTTTCAAATTTTATTAATTTTTACAGACTAGTTTGTACCTTATACATAATCACATTACATGGTATTCGTAAGATAGCCGCCGCCTCTTCGTTGCCTCAGTGTATTATTTCAGGTACTTACCAGTTAGGTTATCTGTAATACCTCTATAGAGAAACTTTAATAATTTATTTTTATATCTACTTGTCTTTAATGTTCTAAACCCTACAGACTCTACAACCCCGATAGAACCTCGTTGCTCCTAAATTGACCAAATCCTCAAATATCCAACATTGGTCAATAAATCCCCAAACACCTTTTTTGCTTATTTTTGTATTATTACAATTGAGTGATTGAAAACAATTTTTAAAATTAAATGGTTTAAATAGTTTGAAAACAGTACCGGGTTGTCCGTCAAGTAAAAAGAGTTTCAATAAATTCTGTAAAAACCTTAAAACACGCTTTATTGACCGATGATATAATTAAAATAAAAAATGTTTTTATATTATTAAACAGGTTTTAGCTCAATTATCGTAATAATTCATGTGAAACTACAGATGAGGCACCAGCACAACTGATAGTTGATAGATTATTATGTTGTATATAAGACGTTTTTCATTCGTCTATTGACGAGGCAATTAAAGATAAAACAAATGAAACATATAGTTAATTATAGTTAATTATAGTGGAAAACTGCATAGAAATTTTGCACAGGGAGATAATCTTATGGTTAAATTTCAGTTATCATTTTGATGGAAGAACATGGACTGCGGTAAATAAGATATGAATATGAATCTAATGATAAAATATATAATAGTCATATAAACCAAACAATAGATGCACAGTTAAGAAATAAGGCAGATGTGATTCTGTATGTTAAAAATGTAGAAGAGAAAGATAAAAGCAAGGAAAGTGGTATTATAAAAACAAAAATACCAAGACTCTTACCTAACAAATGTAATGGTTTTATTTATAAATAATTAGTTTTATATTAATTATTTATTTTTTATATGTATATTTATTATTTATTTATTTTAATCGGTGAAATAAGTTAAGCCGATGTAAATAAATTGTTTTTATTTCTGTTAATAAAGTATACAGTTATTTTAAAATATATTAATCTTTTATTTTGATATTGTGTCATTAATTCATAAATAATTAATGAGTGTCGTCGTACTAGCAACATGTTGTACTCTTTTTAGTAGTTATAATAATGTTATATTATAAGTACAATAAAAAATTATAAATCTATAAATTTTGCTTTTGTATAAAAATTACTTCAATACTAGTAAAATATTTTGTAAAATGTATTTTGATATTGTTTAATTGAGTACATTCAAAATTTAAATTTAATTTATTTCAGAAAAATAATTTTATTATTTTGATTACATCAAACATAATAAATAATATATTTATTTATTTAAGTGTCATTTTATTTTTTTGGCGAACTTAATAATTTAAAAACAAGTATGGTAATCATGAGATCATTTATTATTTTAGTAGATTGTTCTTAACTAAATATTTATTTTACGAATTTTTGCAACATTGATAGTAAATTACTAAAATTACTACGCATTTAACAAAATTTTGAAATAGGTTTTTATAACAATAAAAAAATAAATTTTAAAATTTAATGGATATTTTAAATACCTAAGGATTAATGTTGGGATGAATAAATATTTTAAAATGTTTTTACCAAATTGCATCACATTTGTTTATATATAAAAAAAAACCTCTTTAAAATTATATATTTTTAGATGAATTTTATAAACAAAAAAAAAAAACCCAGCACTGGGGGGTCGCGGCATAGTTGGATCAAGTTGGGTTGGGTTGGGTTTAAAATCACCATCAAAATAAAACGCTTTGATGCAAATTTTTAGATAGTGTTTAATTTTAAAAAATACACTTTTCAATAAGTTATAGCATTATAAAGTTAAAAATGTGAAAAATAAAATCGAGAATTTTCACACAAAAATAGCATTTGGTAGCTATTTTCACCGTGAAGACAAAATAAAGTCCGAAATTTTTTTTTGAATAATAAAGTACATTACATTAGCTTTAATTTAAGATATATATAAAAGTGTCAGACTTTCCGGAACACTTTAAAAAATTAAGTTGAAAAAGTAAATTTGTTGTGAAAAAGTTTTTTGAATCCCCCCCTGTGGGCAGGTTAAGTGTCAGATATAAAAAAAATATACCACATGATAATTAAAGACATCAAGCATCTATATAAAAAAAATTATATTGATATGTTCATTTTTGAAAAAGTTATAGCATTATTAAGTTAAAAATATAAAAAAAAAATTATTTTACAAAAATCGTAATTTTTTATTAACTTTTATGTCTATTTTCACCACGAAGACAAGTCCAGAGGTCAAATTTTTTTTCTCAAATTATATTACATAAGCTTTAATTAAATATATATATAAAGGTGTCAGACCTCCCGGAACACTTTCAAAAGTTAAGTTGAAAAAGTTCTACTTTCTATATTCCTTTTTTATGTTTTGAATCCCCCCTGTATTAAGGGAAATGGTCCGATTTAAAAAACAGTATGTCAAATAAAAGATCTATATAAATACTACATCTCATGAAAAAATTGTATTGATCCATACAGTTTTTAAAAAGTTATAACACTTTAAAGTAAAAAATGTAAATTATAAAATCGAGAATTTTCACACAAAAATAGCATTCAATAGCCATTTTCACCATGAAGACAAGTTCAGAGGTCAAATTTTTTTTTTTCAAATTAAAGTATATTACATTAGCTTTAATTTAAAATATATATAAAAGTGTCAGACCTTCCAAAACATTTTCAAAAGTTAAGTTGAAAAAGTTAATTTTTTGTGAAAAAGTTGTCTTTTTAAATCATCCTCTGTGGGTAGATTCACACAGGTCAGATTTAAAAAAAATATATATCAAGTGATAGGTAAAGACATCAAGCATCTATAAAAAAAAAAATTATATTGATATGTTCATTTTTGAAAAAGTTAGAGCACATTTAATAAAAAAAATTTCGAAAATTTCGAAAATTAGCGATTTTTAAATTTGTAATTGTTTTGAAGGTTTCTCCCATTTACGGGGAACGGGGGAATTTTTTTCAATTTTTAAGGGTAATGTCTTCTTCTAGATACGATTTGTGATCTTGTGACGTNGGGAATTTTTTCAATTTTTAAGGGTAATGTCTTTGACTAGATACGATTTGTGATCTTTTGACGTATTGTTGAAAGAAATCCGTTCGGTGAGAGCTGAGAAAAAGTGGTAACAGACACACAAAAAAAAAAACACATCATAGTAAAACCAATACCTTCTCAGCTTCGCAACGAAGCTAAAATTCAACTAAATACCAAAATCTTTTCAAAATTGCTCTCAACGTACAATTAAATACAATACTGATTTATTTATAGGAAAAGCAAAATAAGTGTATGTTTATAAATTAAAATATTTTGTATAATGCAACTAATATTTGTTTAAATGAATATATTAAAATTTAGATTAAATTATTTTCAGTATAATAATTTTATACAAATAATTAAAAATAAAATCGCTATTGAATGTGTTACGTATTGATAAATATTATATAAATTTGTAGTGTGGATTGTCCACTACTCACGAGTGCCATCACAGGCACACGCACCATTAAAAATTATATTGTTTCTCAATAAAAATTTATTTTCTAATTAACTATTTGATGTTGTCTTTCATACTATGATGTTTTTATAAAATTTTGTTAGAGGAATTTTTTATGTAAATATAAAAAGTTGATTCATATGGGTCACAAAAATAATTTTAAATTTGATTCTTTTCATGCATAAACTGCTCTATAAATAAATATGCTAATAAAAATGTCTCCAAAATTTACTATATAAACTGTCGTTTTATACACTATTTTCAAATTCGTTAATTGTATTTACCTGTTGTAGTTAATTCATACGTTGTAATATAACCACAAAATGTATAATCAAATCGTCTTAATATTTTGTTTTGTGTGTACTTTCATTACATACATTAATGCATCAAGCAGTTCATCGGTAATTATCCTTAAAATAATTATTTTAATAAATTTTTTTAAAATACATTTTCCACAATGTGTGTTTTATTTCATTAAATTTTAAACAAAAGTCATTTTTTCTGTATACAGTGGACTTTGTAAAAATAATACTCCTAATTTTTTTGTTTGATAATATTTCTATAAAAATGTAAAAAAAAAAATTTGTTTATTTTTATTGTTAATTTATTTTATATGATTCCCGGCACTTGTCTCTATCGTATTAACNTTAATTTATTTTATATGATTCCCGGCACTTGTCTCCATCGTATTAACTTGACATTTATCAGTCTAATAATTAAAGACTTGTTTCTTTTTTTCTTTCACAAATAAGTAAAAATTAGTTAGGTAGAAGTTTTTTTTATTTATTTCATATTCGAGCATCACTCATACATTTAGATTTATAATTGATTTAACTTTAACTTTTATAGAAGTTTATATAGATTCTACAGGAGGAAGAAAACACCATTATTTTAATGATTAAAATTTTTAATGATTAATGATTATTTAATGTCCTTTTTTTCAGCGCTCAGTAAATTTATTTTAATGATTATAAAAATGAGATATGCAAAATTTGTGATCAATATTTGATAATAAGAATTTGTGAATCATTAATAGAAAATAAGATGAATAATTAGAAAATTTTTTTTATTTAGGTTTAATACATAAAAAGTCATCTAACTGGTGTCATAGTATAAAAATATGAATGGGTTACCTTTCAAAACTCATTAGGGTTCTTTTCGATGTTTTTTAGAGAATTAATGTAAATCTGTACAGAAATTATTTGTATAATATTATAGACATTTCGATTTTGAAATAGGGTAAAGAAAAATAAGATTTCAGATAAACTTAGCCTATTAACTTTACAAAAACCATTGTTAAATTTAATTTTATATTAATAATACTTATAATGATATAATCATTACATATTTTTTAAACTTAAACAAAATATGTTATTAATTTTTTTTTTTGGATAACTATTGTACCTTATGTTGACTGGTAATTATAAAAATTGAATTTTTATTAAGGATAATAAACAACCTGCAATTAGACTGTTTAATCGACACAAAAATGAGGCAACAGGTATGATTGGCTTTAAGGAATTTAAAAATATGTTTGGTACAGAATTGAATGAAAATAAATTGCTTCAGGAGTTTACCAAATACGCAAACGGTAGTACATACAAAAAAAAATTAATTAATTAATTAATAATTAAAATTATTAACCTAAAAATAAAAATTGAAGGTAGTGTCATACAAAGTAATCGATTTATTATACCACTTGGTTATACGCAAAATAAATACAATATTCAAAAAAAAATTTTTTGGTTTGTTTAGCAACATGTATTAATGTATTAATTACTTTTTAGAATCATCACATTATGACTTAAAGAGATGTCAACTTTTTTGTTTTAAAATGGCACCATACATATATAACTAGCTAATAAAATAAAAAAATGATCTAAGTAATATAATGATTGACCGATAATAACATTTGAACTAGTACTGTAAAAAATTTTAAAATTTTTATATCTAGGCGTGAGAAGTGGGGCGACAGAGATATGTCCAATAATTAAATTAGCAACAACTACACTATATATTATGCTAATAATATATAGTGTATAATGCTAATGCTAATAATTGATACAAACTATTGGTACAAAAAAGGAGTATATATATAGCATTTATAAAAAAAAAATGTATTGATCCATATTTCAAAAGTTTATACAAATTTAAAGTTACAAATATAAAATTGAAAAGTTTAACACACAAGTAATATTTTTTTTACTTCAGCAGCACAATTTATTTTTCACAATAAAAATAAGTCATCAAGACAATCTTTTTTTAAAAATTATAGTATATACACAAGCTTTAATTTAACATGTGGTTAAGGCTCAGAGTATTTCCAGAACATTTTAAAAACTTCAGTTCAATAGGTTAAATTTCCATGCAAAAGTAGAAATTTTTAATCCATCTCAGTGGGCAAATTATGAGTCAGATGTCAAAAAAAAATATATACTACATAAAAAAAATACCTAAGATATTTGTAAAATAATTTTTTTTTCATTGTTCCATTTTTAAAAATTTATGACAGTTTTAAGTAAAAAATTTTCAAATTTAATAAAATTGATAGTTGATTCAGATTTAAAAAATCCTAATTTTTTGGGGAATGTCTCCCATTAACGGGAAATAAGAGAAAATTTTAATTTTTGAGGGTTATGACTTCAACTAGATACGATTTGACATCTTTTTAAGTATCGTTGAAAAAATGTGGGCCAGTGACAGCTAAGAAAAAGTAGTGACAGATATGAAAAAATTTTTTATTTTATAATATCATGATAAAATTAATAACATTTCAGCTCTTCATCGTAGCTAAAATGATCTAATTAAGAAAATAACAGGCTTATAACAACACTAGGATCAGTGCTTCGAAAGTCATTAACATTTTTATACATTGGTGGAGAGGTGTGGTCAAGATATGTCCGATAATAAATTAGTAGCAATCATTACCACCAGTCTATATTTTAAATTCACAGTAACTTTTTAAAAACTAATCCAAAAGTTGTTATCGACCAGCCATTTTATTAATTAGATCATTATTATATAAACTTATTAAATATGAATATTTTTAATTAAAAATTAATTTGTCACCCTTATAAGTTATAAGACATGATTCTAACAATTAATTAATACCTGATATCAAGAAAGGTATGAAACCAGAAAAACCAAACATTTATTTTTTTTGAATATTGTATTTATTTTGTGAGTAATCCAGTGGAGTATGATAAACCTTTTATCCTGTATTTTGTTTTATAATATAAATTGTATTTAGTTGAAAAATTGCCCCTTTGATATAGTGTCTATCAAAAAAAAATGTTTTCATGAATTTTAGAGTTTAATAAAAATTGATCACTTATGGTTAATATCAATTAAAATGAAAAATATTAACTTAAAACTAAAAACCCAGCACAGGAGGGTCGGGCACAGTGGTGCGGTAGTAATGTTGAATCAAGTATAATAATATTTGACCGTGATTAAAATCAGTATCAAAAATAAACACTTCGATGCAAATCATTAGATAGTGTTTAATTTAAGATATATATAAAAGTGTCAGACCTTCCGGAACACTTTCAAAAGTTAAGTTGAAAAAGTTAATTTTTTGTGAAAAAGTTGTCATTTTAAATCCCCCCTTGTGGGCAGGTTAAGGGTCAGATTTACAAAAAAAATACACCAAATGATAAGTAAAGATATCAAGCATCTATATAAAAAGAAATTATATTGATATGTTTATTTTTAAAAAAGTTACGGCAGTTTTTAGGAAAAAAAATTGAAAAAATTTCGAAAATTAGCCATTTTTAAATTTTTAATTTTTGTCGAGGTTTCTTCCATTTACGGGGAACGAGGGAATTTTTTTCTATTTTTAAGGGTAATGTCTTCGACTAGATACGATTTGTGATCTTTTGACGTATTATTGAAAGAAATCGATTCGGTGAGAGCTGAGAAAAAGTGGTAACAGCACAAAAAAAAAAAAAAAAACACATCATAGTAAAAGTTATACAAAAAAACGTTTAACTCAAAAATTCATTACAAAAGTTATTGAAAATCGTGAATATGTATTTCGGGAACAATTTTACCATTATCAACACTATAAGGTAGACAATAGAAATATTTAAAAACAGTTAAATTAAATGGGATCTTGGCTTACTGAAAAATTTATATGTGTTTAGCGCTGATAATGGTAACATTGTTCTCGTTATACTTATTCACGATTTTTAATTAGTTTTTTTGACATTAGTTAGTATTTACTGTAAAATAGGTTTGGCTATAGGCTATAAAATATTAGAGTGTTTTATACAATGTTAACAATTTCTAGATTCTATAAAATGAAAATTAAAAATCCAGTGTAATTAATTAATTTTTATGTTTGATTGTGTCTATTTTGCAATTCTCCTTTACATGAAATAATTTTTAATATTCAAATAAAAATTACATTAACAGTAATTCAACTTATATATTATTTTTCAAAAATGAACAAATCAATATAATTTTTTTTTATAGATGCTTGATGTCATTACCAACCTTTTTTTTATAAATTTGATCCTATATCTGCCCACAGGGGGAATTCAAAATGACAAATTTTTCACAAAAAATTAATTTTTTCAACTTTGATTGAAAATAATCCGGAAAGTCTGGCATTTTAATATATATCTTAAATTAAAGCTTATATAATGTACTTTATTATAGAAAAAAAATTTTGACCTCTGGACTTGTCTTCGTGGTGAAAATGGCTACCGTATGCTATTTATGTGTGAAAATTCTTGATTTTATTTTTTACATTTTTAACTTTTTAATGTTATAACTTATTGAAAAGTGTATGGATCAACACAATTTTTTTATGAGAAATAATATTTTTTAATAATCCCTTTTTCATTTGACATACTTTATATTAATCAGAATATTAATAAGGAAATAGAAGATCATGTAGCTTTTGGAATAATTCACCAATTTTTTTTTAAATTAAACATTAACTACAGATTTGCATCGAAGCGTTTTTTTTGATAGTGATTAAACATGCTGGGTATCATTATACTTGATCTAACTATGGCACGTCACCAATGTGCCGCATCCCCACTGTGGTGGGTTTATTTATATTGTAATAAAATAGATGTCAAATTAAAGCTTATGAAAATATTATAAGTTTAAAAAAAAAATTTAGTCTCGACGAATTATCTACTATGTGCAAACGGTTGCCGTAATTAATAAACATGCAATTTTGGTGTTTCAAATTTTATTAGTTAAACTATTTCAACTGAATTTTTGAAAATTTTCCGGAATATGGACACTTATATTTAATTTTAAATTAAAGCCTATATCATATACTATACTATGAAAAAAAAAATTTCGAGATATAGTGAACATGATTATCATATACGAGAATATGCTATTTCTGTGTTAAAATTTTGGGTTTTGTATTTTAAATTATTTTAATATACCTATAATGGGGTACAGAGATTTTCATGAATATTATATAAAACTAATTGACATAGAACATAAAGTTAAACTTATTTCAATTTTTTTTTCTTCGAATAAAGTAATTTTAACATTTGAATCAGCTTAAATTGCCAATTTTATCAAAATTAAAAAAAAACGAATGCGACGAACGTTTGCAGATTCAATAAAAATCATTGCCATAGGAATAATAATAATAATATTTTATATTTTTAGGAAACAATCAAATGGATTTAAATGGACTTAATAATCTCCTGGATGACACAATAGGGAATATGACAGAAAAAGATTATAATAAAGTATTTAAAGCTATTGATAGTAATAATGATGGACAAATTTCTGTTGGAGATCTTCATACTATAATAGATCGAATTAATCCTGATTACAAGAAAAATATTGAACCTTCTTTAAATATAAACGATAAAGATAAAAATAGACTTATTTCTCTAAAAGGTAGTTTTGAGGTTTAAAAAATATACATCTTAAAATATAAAATGTATTATTTATCATTAAAAAAAAAGTGTTTATCAAAATATAGTAATGATAACTGAGATTACAAAATATTATTAATTGTAAAAATGTAATTATTAAATATAAAGTTTAACTACTTACTGTGAATGAGAAAAATAATTATAAAACTATATATTAGGATGATCCTAAGCTACTTATGTTGGTTTTTAACTTCGATGCGAAACTGAGAAGGTATTGGTTTTACTAAGATGTGTTTATTTTTTTATTTATTTATTTATTTTTTTTTTTATGTCTGATTTTTTTCAGCTCTCACTGGACCGATTTCTTTCAACAATACGTCAAAAGATCACAAATTGTATCTAATTGAAGACATTACCCTTAAAAATTGAAAAATTTTCCCTTGTTCCGCGCAAATAAGGGAAATCTCCAAAAAAATTACAAATTTAAAAATCGCAAATTTTCGAAATTTTTTCAATTTTTTTTTCTTAAATCTTCCATTACTTTTTCAAAAATCAACATAATTTTATACCAAAACCTTAGATATTTTTCCATCATTTTTTGAAAATTTAACACTTAATCTGCTCACTGGAGGGATTTAAAATAGCAACTAAATTTTTGAAAATTATCCGGAAATACTGTGTCCTTTAAACATATATCAAATTAAAGCTTATTTTTTGTACTATAAAATTTGTTCCGAAAATTTATCTTCTGCATGCAAACGGCTTTTGTAGTGAAAAAAACACTATTTTTGTGTTAAAATTTTCGATTTTCTATTTTAAATTTTCAACTTAAAAATTCTATAACTTTTCGAAAAATGTATGTATCATCACAAANAACTTAAAAATGCTATAACTTTTTGAAAAATGTATATATCAGCACAAATTTTTTTTTCTAAATACATTATAAGTACATCTTTCATTTGACATACTTTTTATTGAAATTGGACAATTTCCCCTTATATAGGGGGCGTTCAAAACTTGAAATACTGTAAAATACATAGATCTTTTTCAACTGAATTTTTAAAAATGTTCCGGAAATACTGCGTTCTTTAAACATATATCAAATCAAAGGTTATGTACTATAAAATTAAAAGAAAAAATTTGTACCGACAACTTCTATGTGCAATTGGCTACCGTATCCAAAAATATGTTTTTTTTTTATTAAAATCCTGGGTTTTAAGAATATTATATAATTTAATTGACGTAGAATAAAGTTCATAAGACATATGAGATGAAACTTATTTTAATTCTTTTTTTTTTTTTAAGTCACAAAAATAACTTTTAAATTTAACTTAGATTAAATTGCTAATTTTATCATGCAACAAAAGTGACGAAGAGATTCCGATTGGGTAACACTTGTGTCTTTCACGCATAGGGTACGAGGTTCAAATCCATCTGTCGCAATTAACATTTTGCATTTTTTTTGAGTTCGAAAAAAATTTTCAAATTATTTGATTTTTATCTCATTAAGATTCAATAACTTCAATAAATATCAAGGATCCCATCATTGTGGTCTCCCCTCGCGAGAAGAAATTTATATATAAAAGATTGTCGAATTAGATTTGATATTATTTAATTTTACTTTGAAATTTATTAATTTTTTTACTTTATTTGTGTGTGCTACTACCAGTTTATAACATTCCAATTTTTTTCGTAACATGTTGCTATATAAATCATAAATCTAAACAAAAAAATGATTTTTAATTTCACCTGAATTTAACAATGGATGAAATAAAAATTTTACTGTAAANCGCCTTAAAGTTGATCGTTCGTAAAAAATTTTTCACAGTTATTTTGTTGATATATTCGATCAATTTTCTTTGGGATTTTTTAGGAAGTGACACTTGTAAATATTATTAAAATTTAATACCCAGTACAGTGGGGACGTACACATAGTTGGGTCCAGTTTAGATATAATAATATTATATTATTATTAGTAATAATTATTTAGTTTTTTTCCTCAAAAACATTAACTTGTACAAAAAAGTTATAATAGCTTATTGTAGATTTAATGTTTTTTCTCTAAAAAATATTTTTTTTCTATTTACTATTCACAAGTACGTCGATTATTTTATGAAATTATATAAATTTTCTCAATATCTTTATAACTTTAAGAGCCACAAATTTCGTTACATTTATCGGCGTACACAAAAGTCATTCACAAGATAAATTTATTAATATGAATAATGCAATTATTAAAGTTCATAATTAAAAGTTATCCTATTATTCATACATAAAATTTAATTAACTTTATTATTGTTCTAGAATTCCTGCAAGTGATGAATGATTTAAAAGAATGAAAACATTAAGAAAATATTAAGAAAATATTTTATCATCTTATGTGATATTTTTTATGTTATACAATACTAATTAAAATAAAATAAAAATAATAACGAGAGTTTAATATCAATTATAAAAATTAAATTGTAACACCAAAAATTTTACTCAATATGCATTTAAAATATCTGTAATCGTTTAGTCTATACTCTTCTGCTACACAATAAAATACTATTCTACAGATACGTAAAATACAATAAATATTTTTCATTTTTTGCATGACAAATAACTGACAAAAGTGCAATTATGGAAAATAATATACGTCTTCTTCTTCTTCTTCCTCGCTTGAATCTCAACTACTTGGGGTAGGCCACCCTTATCCTAAACTTGAAACGATCTCCCACATCCTCTACACTCACATTAGATGTCCTCATATCGCATTCAATAATATTTACAGGGTGGCCCACCACTCACTGACAACTTAAATAACTTTTGATCCAGTTAATATTTTTAGTTGATTTTTTTTTTAAATATTAGTTAGACGTTAGGTCTATAGCTATATCTCAATAATTAATTTTTTTACATTTTATTAAAAATATTAATTATTTTTAAATTTTAAATAAAATGTAAAAAAAAAATCTAAGATAGCTATTTTGTAGAGTAGAATTTAAGAAAAATTTTAGTAAAAAAATATCTTATTAATATTCA